TAGATCTATATCCCATTTTAAAAATTGGATTATTTGGTAATTTGATGCCTAGTTTCTTGAGTTCTTTATATATTTTAGAGAGGATGCTTGAACTGGCCTGCCCCTGTAATCAGATTAGTGACTACCCTGTCATCAGAGAACCTACATTCAGTAACTGATGCAGTGATCCACAGCCAAACACTGGGCTGACCTGGAGTTGAGTGGTAGAGAGGGAGGAGGGATCATATGAGCAAGGTGTGTCAAGATCATAATGGGGAAATGGTGCGGGAGAATTATCTGTATTCTGTCAATCATGTATTTTAATAAAACGCTGATTGGCCAGGCAGGAAGTATAGGCGGGTCAACCAGACAGGAAGTAGAGGTGGAGTAATGAGAATAGGATAAGGCTAGGGAGGAGGAAGGTTCCTCAGCCATTCCTGTACAGACCACCGAAGAGGCAGCATGTAACTTGCCCAGCAGAGAAAGGTACGGAGCCATTATGGCTAACATAGATGAGAATAATGGGTTAATATAAGTTATAAGAGTTAACAAGAAGCCTGACCTAATGAGCCAATCAGTTTATAACCTTATGGAGTTCTGTGTGTGATTCTCTTTGGGATTTGCCGGCTGTTGGGTACCGGGCGGGATCGGAAACCCCAACAAGCTGGCCCTCATGTTACAGGGAAAAACCACTGGGACAGTTTGTGGAGGCCAAAAAATGCAGGTCCATTTCCACCTTGACTGTTGGTCTGGGAGTGTGGAGATTGACAAGCATAGCTGCACATCCCAACTCAGGAGGTGATTGCTTGGTTCTTTTGAAATTAAGAAAGCTCATTCTAGTAAGTTCATGCCATCCTGATAAGCGGTCAGGATATGCAAATGTACTTCGGCTCCTTCTTTTTTAACTCTGAGGTCACCTAGGGAAGGGCTGTCTTCAGAATACATGACCTAGAACATCTTTGCTATCTAGACAACAGAATACTAATGATTTGATGTCTCAGAGTGATAAAGCCATTGATTGTATAAGTTATCCTTTTGTATCATGTTAATAAAGTCTTTTATTACCTTTTCCCCCATTTACATTGGGTATAAAAGCTGTGGAAAAATAAACACGGGTGAATTTCAGAATTTCAGTCACTGGAAAGTTCTTCCGAAACTTTCTATGTTTTCTGTCTTATTATTTTTATGCATCTTCATATTCTTTACTTATATTTCTAAAATTCCAATGGCCCTACCCTGGTAAGAGGTGATTTTGTCGAGGCCGGTCCTCAATAACGGTTGACATGAGCTAGTGGGAGGTCACAGCCTCTGGACTGACAGATGTGGAGCCTGCATGGGTCCAAACTAGGCCCTCTGAATTTGGATGACAGTTGTGTGGCTTGATCTGTTTGTGGGGCCCCTGGCAGTGGGACCAGGACTTATACATGAACTGGCTTTTTGGAGCCCATTCCCTATGGTGGGATACCTTGCTTGGCCTTGATGCAGAGGGGAGGGTATGACAGACTTTGTCGATGCTCCAAGGAGGCTACTTACCACCTCTAAAGTATAGGTGTGGTTAGGGGGAGGGGGATAGCGGAAAATGGGAGGGTGGGGGAAATGGGTTTGGTATGTAAAATGAAAAAAATATTTGTAGTGATATTTCATTTGTATTTTAATAAATACAGCTTGTCTGAAGATCAGAGAATAAACAGCCCCACCAGTCAGCCTTACAGACCAGGAAAGGGTGACACACCGTTAATCTCAGTAGCCACACTAGTTTGCCACAGACACCAGGCAGTAGTGGTGCATGTCTTTAATCCCCGCCCTAGAGAGGAATATAAGACTAGGTGGTGGGCAGCTCTCACACAGTCTCATTCTGAGATTCCTGGAGGCAGGATCGCCATTTCAGACTGAAGTAGAAGTAAGAGATACTGGCTGGCTGTTTTGCTTTTCTGATCTTCAAGTTGAACCCCAATATCTGTCTCTGGGTTTTTATTAAACATGCTATAAATATTTTTTAAATAAAAAAAGAACATAAATAGGCGAATTAAAAATGGATTAAAAATACAAAACTAAACAGAGTTCTCAAAACAGGAAAAAAGCAACTGGATAAGAAACACTTAAGTGCTCAACATCCTAGTCATCAGGGAAATGCAAATCAAACTACCTTGAAATTTCATCTTATTCAGTCAGACTGGTCAAGATCACTAAAACAAATGACAGCTTATGCTGGCAAGGATGTGGGGTAGGGGAAAATTCATCCATTGCTGGTGGGAGTACAAATTTGAATAGCCACTGTGGAAAACAGAGTAGCAATTCCTCAGGAAGCTGAGAATAGATCTACCTGAAGATCAGCTGCACCATTCTTGGACACACACCCAAAGGACTCTATATCCTATCACACAGGTATCTGCTCATCCACATTCACTGTAGCCCTAGTCATAATAGCCAAAAATTGGAAACAGCCTAAATGTCCATCAACGATTGACTGCTTAATGATAATGTGGTACATTTACAAACTGGAATATTATTCAACTGTTTAAAATATAAATTATAAAATATGCAGGTAAATCGACCTAGAAAAAAATATATGAATGAGATAACCCAGATGCCAAAAGACAAATTTTGTGTATTTTCTCTTATATATGAATGTTAGCTTTTAAGCATTCCTTAAATGTGCTACAATCTGTATAATTATGGAGGTTAGGTATGGAGTAAGAGACGAGCTGGAGGGGAGGACTTCCCAAGGAAGGGGAAATAGAGTAGATAGCGATGGAGAAATAGTGAGGGGTTGGCACAGGAGGATTAAACAGGGAGAGAGATGGAAGAGAGGGGTAAAGGAGGGAATACGGGGAGAGACAGCTAATACTAAGGGCTATTTGAAGAGTCATATGGAAGCCTATTACCATCAAAGCATCTTAAAAATATGTATATATATATGAAAGGAATCTAAATGGAATCACCAAATAAATGGGGAGACAATGCACCAACTAGACATGTTTTGCCATTAAGTGTAACCTTCACTGCCAGGAATGAGTCACGTCTAGTTGAGCTATTGGCCAAAGGGGCCCCAAAGGAACCCCCAAATAACTCAGGCTGTTGCCAAGGCTATTGCTCTCCAGAAACTGACAGTAAGACTTCATTGCTGAAGACAACACGTATATATCTCATTAAATGCAGAGAAGCCCAGCCGATGCCTGACTAGCCTTCACCTCTCCTGACTGGTGGCCACGGTACTGGAAGGCACTTGTCATGCTACCAAAGGAGAATGGTAGTCGTCAGTCTAGCTACAAACTCTGTCATCTACAAAGGTGATCTACAGACCTGATACCCTGGTGCAATAGTGCCACGAGCACTCTGGGAATAACCAATTACTCTCTGATTGGATAGGCTACAGGCCTACTGTTCTGCTAAAGGAACACAGCAGAAAAATGGTGTCTGCTATATCCATAGATTACTGCCTGACTTGGCCATCATCAGAGATACCTCCTCTTGCAATAGATGGGAACTAACACAGACACACAACTGGACAACATTGTTCAGAGAGTGAGAGACTTTGCAACACTCCATCCTAAATGGGATGTCTTCATCAACCCCTCCCTCCAAGACTCAGGGAGCTATGCAGAAGAGGAAATGGAAAGACTGTAGAGCCAGGAAGGATAGATGACACCACGGAAAGTGTCTTCTAGACACAACATGACTGACACACATGAACTCACAGAAACTGTTACAGCACAGGGCCTACACAGCTCAGACCAGATGGGGTCCCAGAGCTGACAGGGGACGTGGACAAGAGCTCCTATCGCTAAGAAACTATTCTTAAGTGACATCTGCCTGCAAAGGAAAAATTAGTTTTCTCCAATGGAATGTCACTGGCTATATTTCCCACACTTAAGGGCAGGCTCCATGCCGATCAGTAGATGGCCAACACAAAAAAACTCAATGGTATTTTGTAGATATTTTGTATCATAGTGCTTTATTTCGGCATTTTTTGTGTATATATTATACTTTCTGATTTTATGGGGGTTTTATGAATTTTTTTCTGTGTGTGTATGTGTATCTGTTTATGTAAATATCAGTGTTTCTCAAGTTTTTTATTTGATTTTATTATCATCATTATTATTAAGGCTAGCTCATTTTGTTTGCCTGTTTTTTTTCTAAAGAGAGAAAGAAGGGTATGGAGTTGTGTGTGTGTGAAGGTGGGGAAGAGCTGGGAGGAGTTGGGGGAGGGGAAACCATGATCAGAATATATTTTATAGAAAAAACTTTTCAATATAAAAATAGAAAAATGAAATAGAAACAATGAGGAAGGCTTACTGTAATGGTCTACTATGTACAAGTGTATGCTGAGCCTGTGTATATTCATGTTTCCATGTTTGTGGGCACAAATGTCTAGAGTCCAGAGTCTGACATTTGTTCTTCTCTTTGATTGTCTTCTATCTTATAAACTGAACCTGGGTTTCTTATTTGAAGAAAGCTTGACAATTTGGCTATTCTGATTAACCAGCTTGCTGCAGGTATCCCTTGTGTAGACCTGCAGAGTACTGAATTATAAGCAAGGGCCATGTCCAGTATGGGTAAAAGGGATCTGGATCTGAATTATGGCCCTTATGTATCAACTGAGACATCTTTTCACCTTGGAAAAGTCTAAAAATGTTTAATACTGATTCTTACTAGTATACTAAACAGAAAAAAAAAAGGACAGGGTTTCTCTGTAGCTTTGAAGCCTGTCCTGGAACTAGCTCTTGTAGACCAGGCTGGCCTCGGACTCACAGAGATTCACCTGCCTCTGCCTCTCGAGTGCTGGGATTAAAGGCCTGTGCCACCACTGGCAGGCTAGAAACATTCTTATTAAACATTTTACTGATATTTGTAACCTGTGTACAAACTAAAATCATCACTTTTCCACATTTCATACTAAAAATATTTCTATATTACAAGATGGAATAAATAAGCTATCCCAAAATCATCTAGAAAAAATAATTTTTAATAAAATTATTTGAATGAAGCTAGTGATATTAGATTAAGTAAGTTAAGCAAACCTTGTAGTGGAAAGTGAAATGTTTCCATTTCCCTTTTTGTCAGAAGGCATCTGGTCAAGCCCACTTTTTCACAGCCATACTTCTGAATGATGGGGTCATTCTGCAGGTTGATGCTGGACTTTAAAATGGCAGAAGTTAAAGGTCTTCCTGAAATAACAAAGGTAGTGCATGGTGGATCAGAATGTGTAATATCTCAAGGAGGGCCAGCAGCGTGGCTCAGTGGATAAGGTGCTTGCTGCACAAGCCTGGTGATATGCATTCTACCTAGGAACCCACTGCGGAAGGAGGTAACTGATTCCTGGATGTGATCTTTTGACTTCTCTGCATGCTTTGGCACAAACGTGCCTGCAAACATACATACAAACACACACACACACATACACACACACAGCTCAATAATAATAATAACTTAGATGGCACGTTTTTGGTTTTCTTTGGGGGGTGGGGGATGAGACAGGATTTCTTCTCACCTTCGTTATTCTAGAACTAACTCTGTAGAGAAGGCTGGTCTCAAACACACAGAAATCTGCCTGCCTTTGCCTCCCAAGTGCTGAGATTAAAGATGTGTGCCACCACCAGTTTCTTATACAGGTTAAGCACGGGGAAGGCAAAAAGATATTATGACTCAGCTTCAACTAAAAAGGGGAGTATGTGTGTGATTTCATATAGTAGCTGGGCATGGTAAGGCATATCTGTGATTCCAGCATTTGGGAGGGAGGCAACAGGATCTCAAGTTCAACAAACTTGGATTACACAGTAAGACCCTTTTTCAAACAATAAAACAAGAACAAACCAAGAACAGAGACAATTAACTCCAAATGTGTTACAACAATAAGGCTTTTTATAAAAGGTAGAGGAAGAATGTGCTTCAGGACTAAAGTGGTTAAAGATACTTTAAGATAGGAAACTAGCTGCTCAATCTTGGAGAAAGCAGAATTGAAATAGCTGGTATGTTAGACCCTTGTTACAGTGCCTACCCATCTCAAACAGCCTGTTTCATCTTCACCTACTTACACCTTTTGCCTTCTACTCCATCAACACCAGCTGATCATGTTAACCAGAATTTTAACTAAAAGATAAAGAACTAACTACATTGAAAACTTCCTCTGTTTGTTTGATGCAATGAAAAGGGACAGACAGTTCTTTGCTGGAGGTACTTAGCTTCCAAATGGCTTTCAAGTCAACAGGAATCCTCCAAATACTATCCTTTTTGATTAAGACAGACATCTGCTCTTTGCTGCCCCAAAAAGCCAATATATCACAGTAGAAGAGGGCACACCAAGTAAGACAGGAATGGAAAGAACTTGGCTTGCCAATGACAGGTTAGTAAGAAAGAAAAATATCTACGAGTCAAGTTGAGAGTAGAGATTAAAATAAATGATAGACCATTTGAGTGTCAGGGTCAAGAGTTTGAACTTTGGTTCATCAATCAATACATAATGCAGAACAATAAAAGCTCCTGATAAGGGAAGCAACAAAATATAGAGTATCTTAAGAAATATTAACCTCAAATACTTGTGAAAAATAGAACAGAACAAAAGTAGAAAGGCTCTACAGTCAAACTGGCAAAAGATATTTTAACTAAAGCCTACATAGTAAGAGGGCCAAAGGGGTAGGAAGGTATACAAAAGAAATGTTAAACATAAAATAATTCAATTAAGAAAATATTTGAGTGTTTATTGGCATTACTCTAGTCAATGTACATAATAAAATTTGCTATGGAATTTAAGTTCAAGTTGGGAAGGTGGACAATGAATAATGAAATAAGTATTTATAAACAAATACAAATGAATAAATATTTAATATATCAAGTAGAAATAAGAACTACAGATAAAAGGAGACGAGAGGGATTACTGGACAAGGAAAATGCCTGATGTCGTGCTTCTATATCAAGTTTGGCCTCTGTGATGAAGTGGTATCTGAGTAGAGATTTATGAGAGTAAAGGCAATGATCCATGCAGATTAGAGACAGGAAACTAAAATAAAAGGAACTCTAAAATTCAACTCTGGTGACTAACGAGAAAAAAATGTACTAACATGGAAACTGAAGATAGAAGCCTATTATTTATGGATGACATAAGATGTTTTTAGCTATGATAGAACAGAGAAGAAAGAAACAATGTCCAGGAGGCGACTGCTGCAATGAAAGACTGGTATATCAAATCTAGAGATAAAGACACAGAAGTCATCTATAGAAAACAGACAGGAAAACTTGAAAAATAAATGAAGACTCCAAAGGAAAGAGTAAAGGAAGATGAGAGAGCCATGGAGTATGCCTTGGGGACTTGAATATACCTAGGATGGAAAAAATGAAATAAAATCATAAGAGAACAGAGCAATAATCATAACCTCTCTAGTGCCTTAATAACTGCAGAATAAAAACATTATTCAAACTCAAAGTCTGCATCACACAGTCACAAGCAGCATCCCTGGCTCTTTCTTTCACTACCACCTCTTTTCCCCCTCAGCATCCACAATAATCTGTGTCTTTTAGCCTTGTCAACTAAGGACCTTTGTTTGAACCTCAAATCTTAAAAAGATACTATATGATTTATTCAGAGATCTTGCATGCTAAATCAAATACAGCAGCATATATAACATAGGCATCTACTGGAAGAAGAACAATGAAAATGCAGCAAAATCAAAAGATACCACCAAGATGCAGGAAACTAGGAAACAGTTCAAAAGGAGGTAGGAGGGAACAGACTGATTAGTCCTTCTGTGTAAGCCTCCTCGGTGCAAATATACAGTTACTTAACTATTATTTCTGAACACAAAGAAGTACCATTGGACAATATTTACCTTTACTTTGTCTGAATTTTGATAATTCCTATTCTACAACCCATATTCTTACTTAAAAAAAAAAAAAAAGGTTAACTGTAACTTAGTTGCAGGACGTTCCCAGGTCTGAACAACACTGCTGTCATGGGTATGTATCTTAAAGCTCTAACTACTGCACCTGTAGGTCACAACTAAAAGTAGGACCAACTAAATTCCCCATCTGTTCTTCAGTGTGAATAATATTCACGTCCCTTTCATTAGTCAATGGTAAGTTCTTCCTTCCCACCTATATCCTAGTAGAAACAAAGACCTAGTGACAGCCGAGAGCAGATGTTCACAGTAATTAGAAGTTTCAATGTCAGTGATAATCAAATATCCTTAGCTATCCAACTTAACCAATTTCTGAAGCGTGGACAATGATTCCTGGTATCTACTCTCTATGGGTAGTTGCTCATTTTAAAATTCTTTCTTTTAAAAAAAGGAAAGAAGACACTTTATTGTTTAAGCCAATCAGAACTGAAGATTCTGTTGTTGTTATTGTCGCTTACAAGAGTAAACTTTACCACATCCATGACATCTGTTTACAAACAACAGCAAAAATGGAAGCCATACCTTTAATAGTCCTAGGAAAACCTCTGGCTGATTTCTTCTTTTGCAACCCAATGATATCAAATAGAAAACTGGACATTGGAGGAGGCAAGCTGAATTTCTGAAAAAAATATATTAATAAGTCTTTTAAAAATACTTCAAAACAGACAAAATACTCTTAAAGGGCTGGACTCTCACTGTTGGTTCAGCCCTTCATAATAGTCTAGGCTTTAACTATTCGTATTATAAAATGAGAACTGTTTCCTGAACATAGGAGAGAGTGAAAGAAGCCACATTTACAATAAAATCTCCACCTGGAAATTGTTCCTCTCACTCCACACTGTAAAAAGTCAACATCAGAGGAATTAACAAGTTCAGTGTTCTCAGGGACTTCTAATCTTTATGTAACTAGACAGCATATCAGGTAACCAGGGTAGATGATACAGGGGTTGTCTAGGTTGAAAGTTCTAGCTACAGGCTCATCTGGGCTAAAATTCAAATTCTACAATTTATTTGTTGTTAACTTTGGTGAGCTACTCACTTTCTTAAACATGAAATAAAATAAAATTCCTCTTACAGGACAACATGATCATTACAGATGATAAACATAGCATGACTAATACACGACTGGGCATATAAAACATACTCGATAAAATGGAAGCAAAAGAGAATCAAGACCCAGGTTGATTAGGGCTGATGGACTCAAATACCTTCAGGAATATATGGACAAGCAGACCAGAGGGAAATAGGGCAGGATATGAAACAAACAGTACATGTTTTTTTTTTTTTAATTTCTTTTTAGTTGTCCTGGAACTCACTCTGTAGACCAGGCTGGGCCTTAAACTCACAGAGATCTGTCTGCCTCTGTCTCTCGAGTGCTGGGATTAAAGGTAGGCGCCAGCGCCACCATCGCCAGGTGCACATACCTTTCTTTCTAAATGGCAGGTGCTATTGAGCTCCAGATAGTATTCTACTGACACCCAATTTTTAAAATTTTTCTTAGATTGGTTTTCCTTTTGCTTGTTTTGTTTTTAAACAGGTCTTGCACCCATGCTGGATTCAAATCCTTCTTACTTGCCTTCCACCTGTTACAGTTACAGCTATGCACCTCCATGCCCAACATTATGATTTAAGAGAGGTACAAATTTTATGTGAATTTTGCAATTTATAAAAATTCCATATTTCACATAAAACATAATCAAACTAGAAGCTATATACTATAATTAGAGAATAACTGTTTTTGCTAGATTATCGAAGAAAAGCACAGACAAATCTAATCTAAACACAGCCCTTAGTACTTCTGCTGTCTATATACCTTCCTGCCTTCCTGTGCTTGTTTAACTAGATTACTGAGAAACATTCTCAGACTGATGCCGTAGCCTCAGGATAGGAGCTCTAACTTAGCCCCTAATACAAAATTTTCTTATCTTACATGTCTGAATGCCTTTCGGAGAAATCTGAATTCCAAATAGAACCTGTAGAAGTGTAGCTGACTCATTCCCTTCAGAATAAAAACCACCACGTTGTTTAGGTGGTTTTGGTGTAAAAGTTGGCACCAGCTGTTGGGAAAAAAAAAAATAATCAAACCAACACACAGCTAAGACGATACTCTCAGACAGTTACAGACACAGAAGACAAGCAGGAAACAGTGACTGACAACCAATAAAACTTCACCAACCACTGACCCTCTCTGACTCACACTATAACTTAAAGACAGTCCTTACTTCAAAGAATTCGAATAAAGATCTTTGTGATAAATATTCGCTATAACCAAATGTCAAGTGAAAGGCAATGCATTTATTAATAAGTGCATTGTCCTATTAATGCTTATTTAAAACTTTAACTATACTTATTTTGTGTGTGTCACAGGATGGAAGTTAGAGGACAACTTAGGGCAGCTGGTGTTCTCCTTCCATCCGAACATTTACTTTAAATAAGAACTCCGAACTTATTTTACAAAGGTTTGTCTCCAACATACTCTGTAACCCCACCTAAGCCAGAACATCAGATGAGGAGATGAGGGCTGAAATCAATGGCAGTCTTTCTTTCTTTCTTTCTTTCTTTCTTTCTTTCTTTCTTTCTTTCTTTCTCTCTCTCTCTCTCTCTCTCTCTCTCTCTCTCTCTCTCTTTTCTTTCTTTCTTTCTTTCTTTCTTTTTTTCCTTCTTTCCTTCTTTCCTTCCTCCCTTCCCCTTCTTCCTCCTCCTCCTCCTCTGGTGCGGGAGAATTGTCTATATTCTGTCAATCATGTTTTAAATAAACGCTGATTGGCCAGGCAGGAGGTGTAGGTGGGAAAACCAGACAGGAATGATGCAAGGAGAGCAGGAGAATTCTGGGGAGGAGGAAGTTGATTCCTCCCATTCCTGCCCAGATCACCGAAGCAGCAGGATGTGAGCTGCCCCACTGAAAAAGGTACTGAGCCACATGGCTAACATAGATCAGAAAAATGGGTTAATCAAGATGAAAGAGTTAGCTAATGAGTAGCCTTACCTAATGGGCCAATCAGCATTATAACTTAAAGAGATCTATGTGTCGTTTTTTCTCTGGGACTAAACAGCTGGGGGTACTGGGCAGGACAGAGAAACACAAACAAACAGCCATTCATGTTACACTCCTCCTCCTTCTCCTCCTCCTCCTTCATCTCCTCCTCCTCTTCCTCCTCCTCCTCCTCCTCCTCCTTCAAGAAGAAGAAGAAGAAGAAGGTAAGAAGAAGAAGAAGAAGGTATAGGGTATCTCTACATGAGCCCTGGCTATCCAGGAGCTCACTATGTAATCTAAGCTGTCCTCAAACTCAGATATCTGTCTGCCTCAGCCTCTGGAGTGCTGAGATGTGCCACTAGGCCCTGCCAGATGGCAGTATTTCTTGACAAAGAAGATGGTTCTAAAAAAATCTAGACAATTATAACAACCTGCCTCAGGGAAATGTGTGCTAATCTCTTGATAAGTATTGTGCTGGATAGTTTTATGTCAACTTGACACAAGCAAGAGTAATCTGAAAGGAGGGAACCTCAATTAAGAAAATGCCTCCCTAAGATCCTCTATAAGCATTTTCTTAATTAGTGATTAATGGAGGAGGGCCCAGCCCATTGTGGGTGGTGCCATCTTTGAGCTGGGGATCTTGGATTCTATAAGAAAGCAGGCTGAGCAAGCCATGATGAGCAAGCCAATAGGCAGCACCTCTCCATAACCTCTTCATCAGCTCCTGCCTCCAGGTTCCTGCCTTGTCTGAGTGTAGGACCATATTTCTACATGTTATGGCAACCAAAATCTCAGGCCACAGTTTGCACCTGCTGCACAGAAGGTCGTCACCTAGCCTGCAGCCATCCCTAACAAAGGGTCAGGATGTTGTTTTGCTCCTTCTTTGTAATTTGGAGGATGCCTAAAAGAGATGTTAATTCGGCATACATAACAGAGCTGGCATACAGAGCAATCATAGGTAAATGTGGACATGACCACAACCATTTACCATCTGGTTACCTAGGAAACAGAATGCTAATGAATTTCCCCCTCTGTTTATGTTTTGGGATATGAGGCTGTTTGGAAAATAAACGCAGAGAAATTTTCAGGATGTGAACTCAAAGTTTCATGAGAGATCACTGAAAATCTCCCTCTCGATAAAGCCATGTGAATTGTCTGAATTATTCCCACACCTCCCCTCTGGTCCAGAGAAATTATTTAGGATACAGGCTGGCACCGGACCCCGACATTTGAGTTCCTATTCTGACTTCCTTCAGTGATTTACTATGATATGGAAGTGTAAGCCAAATAAACTCTTTCCTCCCCAAGTTACCTTGGTCATGGTTTTTCATTATAGCAATAGAAACCCCATCTAAGACAGGCATAAAAAATATAATTTGCATAAGTCATCCATATCACTGACAGAATTCAAATAATATCATCTCTTCATACTTTATCTATAAAAGAAGGAAAAGACTAACCAGAATTATTAAGATAGCATTAGCCTATAATAAGAAAACAGTAAGTAATGTGATTTCTATCGAGTCCATATCAGGGGAAGCAAACTACAATATCTATATAGCCAGACAGATATGTAATGATAAGTATGCACAGATGGGACAATAGAGTATGCACACCTTCAGCTTTGGCAAATCTGTTGACTGTTAGGAGAACAGAGATGGTTACCAGATTTTTAAGTTCTTTGAAGAAATCACCAAGCTGAATTTTTATACAGAAATTCCCAAATAATTATTGACAGCTGTTACTTAATTAAAAATGAATATGATGCATGGCTAACCAATATCAATAAGCTACAAACAGTTTGAAACCTCTGGCCTATGCACAGTTTATCTCATACCTGGGTTCAGGAACAGTGGATTTACCCAGAACTGCATACTTCAGCAACTCACACAGCTGTTTATGGGTTACTACATGATTTTCAGCAAATAAAATGGAAGATAAGCGAGCTTTCTGTAAAGACAAATTAGAATACAGCACACTATAACGCTCATCATTGGCAAAAAGGCAATTATTCAAGTTTCTGATTATTTTAATATACATACAAACACAAGAACTGCTCTAATTAATTGAAAATAAGGTCTAAAAGAGCCACTTGTGGTATGATGTCATTAGTAGAATATTTTATAAACATTGGTACAGTTTGTGTATTATTTATGCCTGCATGCTAAAAATAATAAGATTACAATACAATTCATGCTTTCAAGAACTCTATTTTATTACAGAAAAATATGATGAGTAATTCTAACACTGCAAGGGTCAATGTTATTATAAATACATAGGATCAAGAGTGTATTTGCCCTAGGGTTTAGACGGTGGTTCTCAACCTTTCTAATGTTGTGACCCTTTAATACGGCTCCTCATGTTGTGATCACCTACAATCATAAAATTATTTCATTGCTACTTCATAACTGTAATTTTGCTACTATTATGCATCATAACGTAAATATCTGATATGCAGATGGTCTTAGGCAACCCCCATGAAAGGGTCATTTGACCCCCAAGTTAGAATCATTGGTTTAGAGTGTTATATCAGTGCCTGCCACCAACACACCTTAAGTACTTAATAAATATCAGATATTACTACTCATTTCTTCATGGTTGTACTGGCTAGTTTTATGTCAACATGACGTAAGCTAGTCATCTTAGAGGAAGGAATCTTACCTAAGAAAATACCATCACGGAACTGGTTTGTAGGCATCCCTGTGACTATTTTCTCAACTGTGTAGAAGGCACAGCCCATTGTGGGTGGTGCCCCCCAAGCCCCGCCTCCTGAAGGTGGTCCTTGATGGTATAGCAAGCCGACTGAGCACTTACTGAGCGGGGAGCCAGTAAGCAGCACTCTTCCCTGGCATCTGCATCAGTTCCTGCCTCCTGGTTCTTGCCCCTAGTTCCTGCAATGCCACCACCGACCGGCTGGCTGCTACGTTATCCCTATTTACAGACCAGGGACAGGGTTCAGTGAAGTCAGTGGGTCAGCCCTGATCCTTCTGCAGGGACCCTACGGGCGGCTGGGGCACGGGACTCGGAGCAACACAAGACTTCGGGCCTCCGGCCAGGGCTCTCCTTTGCTCACCTTGGCTTTAGGCTCCGCGTCCTCAAGATCCGGCTCTGTCGCCAGGGCCGAGGTCGGGGCCCCCTTCCTCTTCCTGGGGATCGTCTCTGTCTCTAGCTCCATCAGGCTGCAGGGAGAGATCGGCTGCAGCTGTGGTGACGAGGACACCGCGGAGCGCGGGAGAGGGGAACGGTTCCCAACTCTCTCCCCTCGACGCAGCTCAGGCCCGTTTACCGCGCTTCGCCCGCGCAGAAACTCCCCTCAGCGAGGGGTTGGAAACGCTACCTGGAGCGCGACGGGGGCGGAGCGAGGCTGCTTGCCCCAACTGAGCCTCAGTCCCCGCCCTCCAGGTCCCGAACCGCTCCAGGCGCGCCCCTCCGCCAGCTGACCGCCGCCGTCACCGCCTGATCACACGGGCCCGCTCTGCCGCGCCGGCGTTTAAACGGACCGGAAGTGAGGGCCGCCAACTTCCGGCCGTTGGACTCTGAGGAACAGAGGATCTGGGATGGCGACCAAGCGGCTGGCGCGGTACGCTAGGGGTTTCACCCCGGAGGGTAGGCGGGAAGGCGTCCTGTCTGGCCCTGAAAAGGCCGGCCTCGGGCCCCACGCCACTATCCTCGCTAGGCTGGAGGAGACCAAGGACCCGGGTTCTTGGGCAGCGTGCCGTTTCGGGTCTGGGAAGCCCCTGGAAGCTGACTGCTGTGCAGATTGTTCGCGGGCAGATGCCACTGCACCCATTGCGTCCGAGAGACTTGCCTAGCCCAGTTTTATTTTAAGAATTACAGCGGACTCTGGATTTTTGGACACGCTAATAGGTTTGTCGACACAGAGCGCGCCTACACTACCAGCAAAGGAAGTTCGAGGCTGGTCTATGAGAAAATGTTGGGTCAGGCCCGAGACCCTATAGCTAGACTGTCTCAAAACAACAACAGAATCAAATCCAAACCAAAGGAAAAGCAATGTGATGTGTTAGTGAATAGCATGGATGTCAGGTTTGGAGAGTCCTACCAACGGTTAACGTAGTATGGCCATCTTTAGAGACATTTCTACCACTTGTTTAAAAGAGGTTACCACCTTAGTTTTTAATATTTGCTGATGAAGTAATCAGTAAATGTCAACTTTTAACCCCAGACCCCTATACTAGCTTCACTTTTTCTCTTTTTCAAAAAGCCAAACACTGCTCCAGGTATCTGCTAGTTAAAGCTGCACTCCTCAGGTGTTTGTCTCACCTGCATCTGAGACCATGGTTAACCCTGTCCCCTGCTTTGGATCCAGTGTCTTGCTGTTGGGGGTCTTTCATCGTAGATTGCCCTCCAGTCAAACTCTGGTTATCTTACTTCCTCACCTAGATTTTTAAACTTTAGGAACAGGAGTCCTCATCGCTTTAGAACAGAGCAAGGGCTTGAAAAGTACAGCAATAGCTAACGGTTTTTAACCGTCTTTGCAGTCCTTTGAGTTCCTCAGTGCTGCTATAAAACGAGGACAGGCAAAATGAGTGTTTGGCAATAGTCACTGGAAGCCCGTGCAGGTAAGATGGACATCCAAGAGAGGATGGCACTTAGCCAAGAATCCCGATCTTGTAAAGTCTACACAGCTGCTGTGCGAGCCAGGGACTTGCTGTGTACACTAACCTGTTCTTCCTAAAGTCGCAGCTGCCTTGGCCTGCTGAGCACTGAGCTTCCAAGTGTGTGTCCCCACACCCAACTCCAATTATACTACCTTAATGAGAATTTTACCATTTGTTTAGAGCTATTAGTTTGATAGCTGATTCTAACTGGAGTATAAATGAATTTATTGATCTTACTGGATTTTGTATTTTTAGGCGGCTTGGATTAATTAGGAGAAAGTCAGTTGCCCCAGCAAGTGGGAATCCAGGAAGAAGCAGATTCAGTAAGTCCCATGTTTAGTTTTCATTTGGAAACCTTGAACTTGGAATGCATACTAAGAACACTTTGGTCTTTTGCAGAACAGGTGTATGACTACTTAATTGTCATTGATTTTGAGTCCACCTGCTGGAAAGATGGGAAACACCACAGGAGTCCTGAAATAAGTAAGTTTGGACTGCCTGTGTCCGAAGCTAATGCTCAATGAGTCTTCTTAAAGTTCCTAGATATGAATCAGCCAATAAGAAAGCAGGATGCCGAAAGCTGGTAGTTTAATATAAATACTGTCTTGCCTAAAAAAAGGATAAAATGCCAAATACCTGAATGTGATCATGCAAATTAGCTAGTTGTTTTAGGATTATATTTAAAACTTTGATTGGATAGAAACTGAAAAAATGGCATTGCAATAATAGAGTACATTTTAACTCTTGTAGTCTTCATATTTAATTGTGAAACCAAACAGATACATAACTTTGATGTTTTGATTTATTCCTTGACCTAGCTTTCTTAAAACTTTGTTTCTCAAGGCTTTTGCTACTCTAAGAAACTTTTACTGCCATTGATTGTTTACTAGTGCTGTTATGAAGCAGTGCATGTTTAGGAGGATTTGCATATTCAGGCTGGGTGTGGTGGTACACACCCTTAATCCCAGACTCGGAGGCAGAGACAAGGGGCAGGTCTATGAGTTTGGAGCTAATTTGGTCAGTGCTTCTTCAACCTTAATGCTGTGACCCTTTAATAGAGTTCCTCATGTTGTGGTGACCCCAGCCATAAAATTATTTTTGTTGCTACTTCATAACTAATTTTACTACTGTTATGAATTATAATATAAATATTTGGTATCCAGAAAGGGATTCCGACCCACAGATTAAGAACCGCTGATCTATATTGGTTCCAGACCAGCCAGGACTACAAATTGAGACCCAATAAATAAATAAACAAGAAATAAGTAAATACAATATATTTAAGTATTAATCTATGTTTCTTTCACTAGTTGAATTTCCAGCAGTTTTGTTGAGTACAGCAACTGGAGAGATTGAATCTGAGTTCCATGCTTATGTTCAGCCTCAGGAGCATCCAATTCTTTCTGAATTTTGCACAGAACTGACAGGGATAAAGCAGGTATGATGCAAATTTTAAAAGTTCAGAAATAAGTTTTGAAAAGAAAAATAAAAGTTATGTAACACTTGGGATTAAATTTTTTCAGTGTTAAGAGAAATAATGTCCCTTCTGAAAGCTCATGGGATCTTGAATATATCAGAATAATGCTAGAAACATAAAGGTCAAGGGTTGTAGCTCTGTTTAAGGGGCTCACCTGGGACGCGGGAAGTCCAGGGTTTGGACTCCAGAGAAACAGTTTATTTTGCAGAGTAACATTCTCAATGTCTTTTATTTCTGTGAGACTGGACTTAAAGTGTATACTTCTGTGAAACTCTGGCGTTACCAACCTCGTTTCTCTCACCTCCTTGAACTCAAGTCACTGCAGTGTTTCTTGCCTGTAATCTCAACGTTTGTACTAGGTAAACTGTTTGTCAGTCAGAACCTCTCTTTGTTCTGTCCCCCCATAGAACAGAGTTGTAATAAATCTCAGTAGCTTAGAAGTTCATTTGTTAAAATCAGATTTTTGGCTCTCCAATCAGGTGCAAGTTGATGAAGGCGTACCTCTGAAGATTTGCTTATCTCAGTTCTGTAAATGGATTCATAAGATACAGCAGCAGAAGAAAATGACTTTTGCTCCTGGGGACTCGGAGCCTTCTCCTTCTGAAGTAAAACTGTGTGCTTTTGTTACCTGGTCAGGTAAAACCATGAGTTGTGATTGTAAGTCCCCGTGGGTAGCATTGAGACTGAGGAGGTGGCTCAGCAGATACCAGTCTGGTTACATGAGGACCAGGGTTGGAATCCTTAGAACCTACATAGAAGCCACATGGGCACAGTGTTCTATCTATAATTCAGGAACATAGGTAGAGACAAGGAATCCCCAGAGCAAGCTGGCTAGTCAGAAAGCTAAAACAGCAAGTCTGAGGCTCAGTGAGGAACTTTGCCTCAGTAGATTAGGTGGGAAACAGTTGGTTCCTGATGGCCGCCTTACCTCCGCATATAAGTATGTACACATGCATGTACACATACACCTTCACCCCCACACTTGTGAACATGTGGCACATACATACCACATATACATATGCCCCACTTACCAAAAGAACAGTAGCATTACCACTATGTAGTCCTTTATTTCTAGTTTTCGTCTTGTTAACCTAGAATTATGCTTGTCTACCTCATTGACCTGGGGAAGAAAATCAAGGGCCACGTAGGTGCTAGCCAAGAAGAGCAAATTCATTCATATTTTTAAAATCACAGTTCTCCAGGCCAATAAGAAAACCTGTCTCAAAATAAGACAGGTAACACTTGAGTAGCTACTTGAGGCTGCATACCTGCTGACTTGAACCAGCACACAAGCACACGTACGCATCTACGCACCTGCACACATGTAGAAGGTATTATTTTGAAACAGTCAACTTAATTTCTTAATGGTGTATTATATAAGCTGTAAAATAATATAGAATATATGAGCATTAGTTATTAGCGTAGTGATTATATCTCACTGCTCTCCTACATCTTGTCTTGTATATTTTACTTGTAAGTGGAAACGCACTGACATCACTGACTTTTCATACCCTAATGCAGACTGGGACTTGGGGGTTTGCCTAGAGTATGAGTGTAGAAGAAAGCAGCTGCTAAAACCCAGGTTCCTGAATTCTTGGATTGATCTCAGAGCAACTTATAAGGTAAGGACCAAAGATGGGAGCATGTGCACTTTGTTTTTGTTGATAAATGGTTATATTTTATCTTATTGGTATGAATTTCTACAATAAGATACTTTTCTTTTGGAATGTTCACATAAATAATAAATCCCAAATCTGATAGAACTAAAAGCTGTAGGAAATAACTTCATAGCTTTTATAATCATTATATTTTAAAATATGTCCTTTTTGTTTAATTAGCTTTTTTATAAGCGAAAACCCAAAGGACTAAATGGTGCGCTGCAGGAAGTGGGAATCGAATTTTCAGGACGAGAACATTCTGGTTCGTATAAACTGATAATCATTTTATTATGTAAGTCATTTTGAGTTTTGCAAAATCTTTCATATTAGTTTCATGTAGGGAGTAATGCTTTCTTTTTCTTTTACAGTTTTTGAGACACTGTTTCTCTGTGTAATAATCCTGGCTGTTCTGCAACTCACTCTGTAGACCAGGCTGACCTCGAATTCACAGAGATCTGGCGGCCTCTGCCTCCTGAGTGCTCGGATTAAAGGCGTGTGCCATTGCCACCCAGCTAAATTAGCACTTTTGAATTTGAATTTAGATAAAGATCACCATGTAGGACTTCTGGTTGGTTTAACAGTAAATAGATAAATAACAAGCACATGAAATAGAAACACAAGTGCCCAGATAATGTGATGCACTAGTGAGAAGAACTGAACATGACTATTATTTTTACAAATGATGGTTTGTACGGAATGCTGGTCACATTTTTGGAAGCTGTCTAACAAATTCTCACCTGTGTAAACACAAGCCCTTGTATATGGTAATTCTGTCACAATTTCCCACAGACTGACTTATGATATTTTTTAATTCAGTAGGTGGTTACAAAACTAACAATGTGCCCCAATTTCTGTTTAAATGTGATTTGTTTTTACTATTTCCTTATGTTAGTTCTACAACATACAGTGTTTGATATTTTATTTCCTCAGGCTTAGATGATTCTCGGAACACTGCTCTTCTTGCTTGGAAAATGATCAGGGATGGTTGCCTGATGAAAATTACCAGGTCCTTGAACAAGGTTAGTGTGTCATTTTAAGCTCTTGGGTAGTAATCATAGGTTCATTAGAACGTTGATTTCAAACCAGTGGGATTCTCCTCCCCCCTCTTTTTTTGGCATATGTAATGTCTACTGAAGAAATTATGCAGTTTCTAAAGCAGTGGATTTGTCTGTGGAATCATAGGTTCTCACTAAGAGGAATCCCAAGATTTTCATCAGAAATTTGGGAACAGATCAAGCTGAAGAAGCATCTGCCTGCAACACTAGCATTCAGGGTCCCAGTGTACATCAAAAGGAGCCCAGAAGTACAGTAAATACCCAGGAAAATGCTCAAATGAATTTAGTTTGTGGGAATTCCTCTTTAAAGGACCAATTACAGCTAAAGACCAAAGCAGATCTTCACAATATCAAATGTGGCTTGACGCCTTTCACTTCTAAGCCCTCGACCTCTGTGGCACAACTGTGTTCTCCCACCTTGAATCCACCTCTCTTTATGCAGAAGCAAAGAAGTGAACAGTTTGCACTGAGTGACACTTCAAGGTCCTCGGCACTTAACTCCAGCTTGGTACTTGTGTCCACGACCGTTCCATCTGTTACTGTTGTTTCTGATGGAGAAGTGGGTTGTACTGTTGACTATTTACCTATGTTGACTGAGTGGGAAGATGTAGTTTTACTGCCAGCATCTCAGGCTGAACAAGATCAAGACTGTGTGCCTCCTGTTAGTGGCACAGATGTAGAGACTTCATTTAATTCTGGAGAGAGATCGATAGTTTTAGGAGAACCGGAAACCCTTAGTTATGAAAACTTTGACGATCTCAAGGAAACTTCTCAAAACTTTGAGACATCTAAGTCTATTGTGTATAAGAGTCCTCACAGTACAGTCTATAATGTAAAAGGAACCAAACATCCAGGTTCAGATGCTTCTACTTTTAAATTACCTGAATGCAAACCATTTACCATCAGCAGTCTTAATGCCAATGCATCGCATCCTTCAGTTTTGAGGAAGCAACCTCTTCTTTTAGGCAGTACTAAAAGGAATTTATCTAGTCCCCCAGCTTTCCCACGAGCGAAAAAGCAGACCTTCACTATTCATGATGAAAAGTCTGCATCATCTATGTGCTCCCCAGGAACTTCTTCCCGGAAAGTTCTTTCCTCTGTATTGACATCCACAGTTAACCTACAGCAGCCTTGGGAGAGTGGGAAGATGACGCCTCCCTTATGCAAGTGTGGCAGAAGGTCTAAGCGGCTTGTTGTTTCCAATAATGGGCCAAACCATGGGAAAGCCTTCTACTGTTGCCCTGTTGGGAAGTTCCAAGAAGACAGAAAATGCTGCAGTTATTTTAAATGGGAACAAACACTTCAAAAGGAAAGAGCCAATAGCAAAGCTCTATCTCATTCCTCAGGACCCACCTTCAGCTCTCCAGAAACAACCCACATTCATGATAGAAATTTAAGTTTTCCTATTAAAAATTCTTTACGACTCAGACCTTCAATGAGAAATTGATAAATTCTCTTCTAAATTGTCTTTTACTTCAGTATAAGTTTTATGTGACTTTTATACCGGAAAATAAAAGTATCAGGGTCAAGTTTCAAGGCCTCAGCATACCTGCAACCACAGCTACACTGGAGTAGTTCACACAGAGGGGAAGTAATTTGCATGACTTTTACTCTTGCCAAGTAGTTGTCTAACAACTGTCCCTTGTCTGTTCCTGTAGGAATCTTCATTCCCTAAATTCCCTAACGTGTGTTTGGATAATGTCACAGAACTATTTTTCATATATTAGCGTTTGCTGAATTTATCAAACTATCATGAGCCACAAGAAAAAAATAGTTTTATAAACCATATTTATTTACTAAGTAGCCATAACACATGACAGCTTTCTTTTATAGACCTTGAAGCAAATTTCAAACTATTTTTAAATTACTTGAGTGAAAATATGATTAATAAAATTCTTATTCAACTTTTAAGTAAATATTCTAAGAATTATGACAATTTTTTAAAAACAAGTTAGTTTTTTAAAGAGCTTTAATATTTGTTTCGATTTGTATATTAACACATTAGAATTATTTGGGGTAGAAAACCAGTGGGGTAGAAATTTGATTTAGAAACTGTCCCTAAGTTAAAATATCTCAGCACCTGAAGACCTTTGCTTATGCAGCCAAATTGCAGAAACATTGAGGTGAACACAGAAGGATTCTTTGACTATTTGATTTCAGAATTCAGCCTCTGATGTCATTACCAAAAAGTACTTTAAATTCAATTTAGAAGCAATTTGCCCATATAACCTGTGGTTCCTGCAGACTGTAGACACCGAGGTTGTTTATAGATATCTGAATAATTAATGGATGAGTTTAAATAGTTTTCCATTCTTTTTTCCTCAGTTCATTTCTTTTGACCTTCCCACTGACAGTCTTTGGCAGTTCTTCAATGAATTCTACCTGTTGGCAGTAAGGGGAGGGAGGAAGTTAGTCCCGCACAGCTCTGCTTTGACGGTGAGGTGAAAGGATGGTGGGAGTTTTCTTTACATTCAGTATTATGAGCTAATTGACTAAAGTTTGTTAGGGGCTTCAGTTTAACCTCAAATTTTTTTACTGTCTATTATCATTAGTTCTGTTGGGAACCTTTCGTTTAGCATGTTTAAGGGGAGAGGTCATTTAAAAAGGAAAAAATAGCCAAACCTTTTCCAAAGCACTGAATAGTGCAGTTGAAACAAGGATGCCCACCTTCCTGGGGTATTTGTAAGGTGCTGTAGTCTTTTTCACGTGTTCCTGAATCTCCTTTTTCAGTTGTTCTTGATCATGTGACTTGTAATCAGGATTCAGAACAATAAAAGCCTTTACTACCTAAAGTAAATGTGGAAAACATCAGTGAGTTATGTGTTTGGTGCCTTAATGTGTCTTGTCGGCTTTCATTCCCTATAAATCTTCCTTGTGGGGAGGATGTCACGGTGTAATTTAGCCCCGCTGTATGCTCATGCTCCTAAGTGCCCAGGAAGTCCTTTAATCTTCTCAGTACCATGGAGCAGGTGGGGCCTGCTTTGCTCAGAATCACTCTTGAACCCCACTCTGACTGTATTTTGTAATGTCTGTTCTGATCTGAATTTGATTATCTCTGTCCTTGGCTCTCCCTTAGAAACACGAAGTACAGTTAGTACCTGAGTACTTAAAGCAGTACACTCAGTACAACCTCTTGTGAATAATGGGCTTCTAGGCCCTACTCAGCCTAACCCCCATTGGAGAGAGCAGCTCACTCAGGCCAGGCATTCTTTGGGAGTTTGAGACAGTCTTGTCATGTATATCGGGCTGGCCTTGACCTCACAGTGGTTCTCCTGTCTCAGTTTCCCAAGTACTGGATTACACTACTCTGCTTGGCTTATTTTTTCCTCCTCAGTAAGGATTGAACCCAGAGACTTATGCACACTCAACGAACATTCCACCTCTGAGCACTTAGCTACACACCCAGCCCTTTTCATACATCATACACTTCCGCTCACTGCTTCCACCCCAAATGCGTACCTCTAGAGAGGCAATCAGTATTCACCTCCAAATCCAGAGTCCCAACATGGGCTAGAGTCCAGAGAGGCCCTTACAGGACTAAGTACCCTTTACTTTGGAAACTGTCTTAGTTTTTCAAAATAGGGTTTCTCTGTGTTGCCCTGGCTGTTCCACTACTTACTCTGTAGACCATGCTGTTTTCAAACAGAGATCCACCTCTGCCTCCCAAGTGCTGGGATTAAAGTTGTGCACTACCACCACCTGGCTAAGAAACTGGAATCTTACTAATTTTACTTTCTGCACCCTTTAATCTGGGAGGAAAGTTTAATAAAAAATTATTTGAAACAGTCTCTTAGAAAAGTCATTTGGTGGGCTGGAGAGATGGCTCAGAGGTTAAGAGCAACACTAGCTATTCTTCCAGAGGTCCTGAGTTCAATTCCCTGCAACCACATAGTGCCTCCCAGGTACCTATAATGAAATCTGGCGCCCTCTTCTGGCACATAGGCATTCATGCAGGCAGAACACTATAATAAATCTTTTTTTAAAAAGTCATTTGGTAAGAATTAACAACTTGTAACTAAAAATTTTCATGTTGAAAGTTGTTTACCAGGGTGAAGTGGTTTTTTAAACAATTTATAACCAGTTACCCTTTTTGTCTTTATCAAAAACCCTTTATCAAAAATATTCCTACATGTTGATATCACCCGTAAGATTATGCAGCTATCATGTGTTTCTTGTGAGTAGAATTTTATCCTATTATGTTTTTGTTACTTTTGCAACTTTATGAACATTTTTATTAACTGAGAAAAATTAAAACTATTTACAGGTTTTGGTTTCCGTGTTAACTTTTATAGCTTTTATAACATGTACTTATCTTCCTAAGTCTTTATAAACCATTGCAGAAAATACTAACTTTACGAAAAATATTGTAACATTATGCTTAAAGGGTATGGCCACTGAGCTGGGCAGTGGTGGCACAGAGTTTTAATTCTAGCACTCAGGAAGCGAGGCAGGCAGATCTTTGAGTTCCTAACCAGCCAGTGCTACACAGAGAAGCCCTGTCTCAAAAAGCCAAAGACCAAAATAACAAAACAAATAAAGATTATGAACACTGAAGTCAGACAGCCTGGACCCAAAGGAGTTTGTTATGTGATCTTGATGAACTAAGATCGTCTCTCTGATTCTCAGTTTCTTACTTTATAAAAGAAGCAAGGATTTGAAAAGCTAGCCCAAATGGTGAGGCTTAGCATAACTTCTGGAAGCATAGGAAGCCATCAAAAACCGATAGATCTCAGATGCAGGAGCAAAAGTACAAAGACTTAGAGCGTTTGCATTTATTTGCTTTGCTTTGGTGTTTTTTTAAACCTAAAAATCATCTTGTTGGCCATCAAGATGGCTCAGGTAGAAAAGGCACTTGCTTTCAAGTTGACACCTGAGTTTGGTCCCCAGAACTCACGTGGTGGAAGGAGGGCGCCAACTCCCAGAAGTTGTCCTCTGTGACCTCCACATAAGCACCATAGCACAAGCACACACACACACACACACACAGTGAATAAATAAATGTAACTTTACAAAAAATGATATGAGTTTTTAAGTTTCACTGAAATATCTTGCAAAATTCTTAGATTTTTCTGAGAAGTGTCTGTGGTTGGGCCAGTCCATGTAGCAGCCACCAGCAATGTGTGACTGTTTGAATTAGGTTTCTTCAATCAGTGTAGTCATATGACTGAGAGCCCTGTATGGTTTTTTTTTTGTTTTTTAACTAGAGGATATCAGTGGAGAGCATTTTTATCACTGTATAAGTCCAAGTCCAACAGTGGCTTTTGTGAAATTCTTAGAGCCATGCAGGCTAAGGAAGGAACTGAGGGCTTCGCCATCTTGGCAAACCTTCCTTCATTCCTTTTATCCCTTTTTTAAGAACTTACCTCTTGTTTCTATTTAATGTGTATGAGTGTTTTGTCTACATGTATGTATTCGCACTGTGTGTAGACCTGATGCCATGGTGGCCAGAAGAGAGCAACAGATACCAGAGAACTGAAATTAGAGTTCTGAGCCCTGTTTGGGTGCTGGGAAGTAAACCCAGGTCCTCTGCAAGTACAGCAGGTACCCTTAGCCTCTGAGGTGACCCTGCCTCCATGCCTTTGTTCATTCCACCACCCCTTCCTTCCTTCCTTCCTTCCTTCCTTCCTTCCTTCCTTCCTTCCTTCCT